AGATTCAGGTTCAAGTTCAACTTACGAGGCTATACTGTGACTTTTTATTGAGAGCAATCTAATGTCTTCTCTCTCTGTGTGATGTTAGCAGCCACCAATAATCTTTACTTAGGTCCAGGAATTCACTACAAAATGGTAACGTTCTATTTATCACTCCTTTTTCATTTATCAACCAGAATACTCCCCAGAAAAGAAACTTCCTCTCTTCATCTATTCAGTCACACTCAGGTACAGCTGACTCTTCAGCCAACTCCCAAGAAATCTAATGAGAGTTGGTTTTTTTTAACTATCATTATGAACTCATGGATTTAAATATATTTGATATTATCGATTATATTGCAGTTATACTTTTTTTTTTTTAAGATTTTATTTATTTATTTGACAGACAGAGATCACAAGCAGGCAGAGAGGCAGGCAGAGAGAGGAGGAAGCAGGCTCCCCGCTGAGCAGAGAGCCCGATGCGGGGCTCGATCCCAGGACTCTGAGATCATGACCTGAGCCGAAGGCAGCGGCTTAACCCACTGAGCCACCCAGGCGCCCCTACTGCAGTTATACTTAACTAATGTCCAAAATGCCTCATCTTTGGCCAGTCAGACCCCATTCAATTAAGCACTTTTGTTGTCTTGCCACACCCTGTTAGTGTTTGATAAACACCTTGCAAAGATTTCAAGTCCCCATGTCTGGAATCATCGTTAGCCATAAGCCACTTTCCATATTCAAGTAGTTTCTTTCTTATTCTGTATTCTTACTAAATTAAAAATCACTACTTCTCAATGATAAATCAGCTGTGTTATATACTCTGGATATTACAGCTGAACATGGACCCAGAATTTTTAACACTATTTCTCACTGAAGTCTACTTTCAGCATTCCACTGAACGCAAAAAAAAGAAAGAAAGAAAGAAAAAAGGCATCATATACCACTCAAAACTAGATTTTAAATGCTTCAATTTGAAAGACTGGAACAGAAAGATTCCTAATCTATTCTCTGCTGTCATTTTGGCTCTGAAAAGTGTTTTTTCATGTTCTATTCCAAAATTCAGGGATGGTTTTTAAAAATGCATAATAAAAATCCACTGTTTTTTTCTTTGATAAATTGATAAAATCATCAAGTATGGGAAATGGTCAAACTCTTAAAGGCTGAATATTTTGTACCATAATTTAGACTTTTATAAAATCCTCATACCTCACCTTTAAAATTCATAACTGTAAATATGAACTTATAAATTCTATTTGAAATACCAAATATATTTACTATGCTGTGTCCCCCTGAAATCATAGAAATGGCATTATCAATATTAAAGAAATATTTATCTTATTTTACTAAAAAACTAATTAAACATTTAAAGCCCTGTCACACTACAGAGCTAGCTAGCATGCATCACTATGAAAAAGCAGGATCCTATACTTACTGACCATTTCTTCACAAAACACTGAAAAGACATGGCTTTAGTGGTCAAGAACTGCTTGCATCCACAATTTTTACCATTTTGATATTAAAGCACAATCAGAAATCACATTACAAGGGGTGCCTGTGTGGCTCACTCGGTTGGGCATCAACTCTTGATTTCAGCTCCTGTCATAATCTCAGGGTCCTAAGATCTAGCCCCACAGCAGGCTTTACACAGAAATCCCTCTCCCTTTGACCCTCCCTCCCCTTGCTCCTGCCCTCTCTAAATAAATAAATAAGCAAACAAACAAATAAATAAATAAAATCTTTTTAAAAAAATCGCATCACTGAATGTCAATTCTCCCTGCAAAAAGCAGACATCAATTGATAACCTGGTACAATTTCTTGTCCTCACAGATTAAGTGAACCCCTTCCTGCAGCTAACCTTGTGAGGCTTTGATCACAGGAGCCAATGCAATTTCTTCAGGCAACACAAAGGCCACCAAACACCACGAACAACAACAACAAAACAAAATAACAACAAAGACTCCTCTGCTGCAGTAAGGCTTTCTCAGTGATAAACAGTAACACATCTCTATGAAGTGCTGGTATGTTCTCTGAACATCAGTGCTTTCATCCAACTGAAAAACAAAAATTCTGCTAGCGTGCACACATGACAGTAATTGCTTTTCCAGATGGTATGCCTTTGATAAGGGATTTTTGCCAAAAGCTCATTTTACTTTCTCTCCAAGCATAATATTTGCCATTAACTTTGAAACTGGTTTTACAAGCTTCTCACTAGTAGTGTGAGTTGACCTGTTTTTTGCTATGAGAAGAATAATCGTGAATGATACTTCTCCTCTGTCTTTAGCAACAACATTCATTAATCTCACAATGAGAAGCATTATTTTATATAATTTATACACATTTTACTTTTCATCACAAGTCTAAAAAGTAATATTTCTAAGACAGAAATACTAGTTCATTTCCCCAGGGTGGCATGGAAGTAGAAGAGCAGAGCTTGTGCCCTTTCCATCATGCCACAGAGAAAACTGCATCAAGGGAATACGATTCCCTTAATATACCCTGTAGACATTTGTTTTCAAATGTTTTGAGTTCAAATAAAGTATTTTTTAAGGTGCCGTTTTAACTTAATGTAAACTGTAATCTAAGATATAACCTTATACATGTTCTAGGGCCATAATTCAGGTACTGATTTTATTTTGTTTGGCTCCTCCTCAAAAAAACCCCAAAATCTCACAATCTCAAAATCTAAAGTCCCCTCAAAAAAAATTATAAGAAAAGACTGTCAAAATGTATCATATATAACTTCTGAGCACAAGTTTGTGAAATTTCCACTTTTTTTCATTTTCAAAGGGGAAAATGAAAAATATTAAAGAAAGATATCATGTGCAAATGCTTGTAAATGAGTGGGAAGATATAAGAAATTGATTAATTAGAGATATCCCCATTTAAGGAATTAAGCAAATAAATTTAGCCTATATAGCACTTTCACAAGTAGAACCATAAATAGTTAACAGCCAAAACCAAGTAGTCAGCAAATTGATCAGAACTTCCTATTCCCTAATCTTAACTTCTGTTGAGATCTGAACATAGTACTATATTACTTAGAAAGGGCTTCCAAAATTTGATTTTATGTGCTCGTTTTAGGATTGTTTTTAAATGGTTTTCAGATGACTGTATTCAGCTTCCCTAGCCTCAAGAGTAAACATTTGAAGTGAAAGATTTCTTCAACTTCATTTATAATAAAGCTATAGAATAATTTCTATTCTTCCCCATATCTAGAAATATGAAGTTACAGAATCATTTACATTCTTCCCTGTATCTAGAATCGTTCTTTGCAAAGCTTGGACAGTCAATGAATGTTATTAAATGTTATTGGAAAGAAACAAAAAAAGGTATCTTTAAAATGGTTCTGATAACAAGACATTTATATTTAATTATCATTACTTTTTGATTCAAAATGACACCACAAAATTTTTAGAGAAGTACAATACATGTACTAGGCACCAAGAACAGTTTTAAAACTTCTTATCAAAGCAACCTAATTCTTCTTCACCTGCTATTTGATTCAAGGTAACTTTTCTTTCACAAACATTGCTCAGTTATACCAACCCCTTTAGAAGGCAGCCATATAACTAAAGCAGTCTAAGGATTTTCTAATATCATGGAATTATTTATTATCTTAGAATTTATTGCTTTATATATTCTTCTTCCAAAACAGAACAAAATGAAATTAATAATCCTTGCAGTAAGTGATACATTATTCTCAGATTTTCTTCTTTGTATTCTAGCAAGATTAATCTACAAACCTCTACAATGTATACAGAGAACCAACCAACTTTGACCTGCCCCTTAAAATAATTATTTTCCAGGGGCCCCTGGGTGGCTCAGTGGTTGAAGCCTCTGCCTTTGTCGTAGGTCATGATCCCAGGATCCTGGGATGGAGCCTCAAGTAGAGCTCTCTGCTCAGTGAGGAGCCCGTTTCCCCCTCTCTCTCTGCCTCTCGGCCTACTTGTGATCTCTGCCAAATAAATGAATAAAATCTTTTAAAAAAATAATTATTTTCCATACTTCTTTCTTATTTGGAAAAAACATAATTAAAAGAAAAAATAATTTGTTTTTAAATAAACACCTAACCAAGCATATATCCTATTTGGAGTATATGTGTATTTAGAAATAGAGTACTATGTTTGTTTTCTGTTGACACTACATTTCCTTTGATTATTTTCAACTGTCGTATGTAGTCTTTAAGGTGGGGATCCACCCCACGATGTGGAAGTGTCACTTGGTTCTTTAATTACTTATCTCCCTTTCTGGTCCAAGTGAAACTAACCCAACAGATCCTGAAGGTCCTACATGAACAGTCTATGAGGAGAAAGAGTGACACTTCTTGGTGAATAGAAAACACTTAATAATAAATTTATAAGAGGAACAAAAAGGTTTCCAAATCAAACTAAAGGACAATTGCTAAGATCTCATGTATCATGTGAGCTGACTCAGTTAGAGGGCTGAATTCAGCTGCTCATCCCAGAGGGTCATGACATAAAATAATTACTAAATTGACACTTACTTATTCCAGTTCTTCTAACATAGTTTACTCAGTCTTAATCTGCACCCAGTAGATTTCTTATAAGTGAACATGCTTTACTAATTATAAAGACTATCTCCCTTTAAAATCTGGATTTTTTTCTCAACTAGTTTTAGGGGGAAGTGGGTAGGGAAGGTTGAATGAACTCTTCTCTAAAAGCTAACTGTTCTCGGGGCCGCTGGTTGGCTCAGTTGGTTAAGCACCTGACTGACTCTTGGTTTCAGCTCAGGTCCTGATCTCAGAGTCATGAGACTGAGCCCTGCCTTGCGCTCCATGCTGAGTGCACACTCTGCTTAAGACTCTCTCTCCCTCTCCCTTTGCCCCTCCCCACCAAGCTCTCACATGCTCTCTCTAAATAAATTAATCTTAAAAAATAAATAAATAAAAGCTAACCATTCTAACATAAAAACTTCTAAACTTATGAAATCTATATATAGAAAACAACATTATAAAGTGAGTTCCAAGGAATCAGATTAAAGTAAATTTGTGCTTCAAATACCTCAGAAAAAGCAGAAATTCTAAATGCTGATGTCTTCATTTGGAACCAAAATTTCCTACTGCATGCTCTTGCTGATGGTCCTTGATTTTATCATCAGAGTCAGTTCCAGTTACATTTCCACTAATATGCACAGATCTAAAGTAAGAAAAAGAAGATACATTTATTTAGTCTACTGAAAACATTACATATCTTAGATTCTACTACATATCACTGTTTCCCTGTAAGCATGCAAAGCTTTATTTCAAGAAATGCCAATTCTCGGGGCGACTGGGTGGCTCAGTCGTTAAGCATCTGCCTTCGGCTCAGGTCATGATCCCAGGGTCCTGGGATCAAGCACCATGTTGGGCTCCCTTCTTGGCGGGAGGCCTGCTTCTCCCTTTCCCACTCCCCGTTTGTGTTCTCTCTCTTGCTGTGTCTCTCTCTGTCAAATAAATAAATAAAATCTTTTAAAAAAAGAAAAAAGAAAAAAAAAAGAAATGCCAATTCTCATTCTTGTCCCACTACAGACTTTAAAAATTAAAATGAAAGATTAATGGCTAAATAAAAAATTAAATTTATAAGAGATCATTAGTTACTCACTTTAAAAAGGTTCATATCCCAATGCAGCTATACAGAGCAAGTTGGGTTTTGCAATGGTATTCCAAGAAGATCAGGACCCTCAACTATCAGCTTAATCATCAGAGTTGCTGAGGTCACCCCAGCAGCAGGGGCCTCAGTAACCTGTTTCAGGTAAAGTGGAACAGTAGGAGGAAATGGGATTCCTAGCAGAAGACACCCCAGTGTAATGGCTAGCATTCATTACTGGGTCATTGGCAGTGGGACAGGACAAACTTTTTTTTAAACTAATGGTAGTATTCTCTTCCCACTTTTATCTCAAAGCTAACTCCTAGGGGTCCCTGGGTGGCTCAGATGGTTAAGTCTCTGCCTTCAGCTCAGGTCATGATCCCGGGGTCCTGGGATTGTGCTCATCAGGCTCCCTGCTCATCAGTGTCTGCTTCCCTCTCTCTCTACCCCTCCCCCAGCTTGTGCTCACTCACTCACTCTCCTGCTCTGTCTCTCTCTCAAACAACAAAATAAAAAATATAAATAAATAAATAAATAGTTAAATAAATAAAAACTCCTAACAATGGGGGGACTAGGCAGACATCAGAGAATGCTTAAGAAATGTGAAACCTACTGGCTTTCATTACTTAAAGCCTAACTAATTTAGGCTTTACCACCCAGGGTTAAGCTTTTTACTAAATGTAATATTGCCTTTAGATCACCAAGACACAGCATTAGGTCCAGAGAAATCATTATTATCACAGGTCGATTCAGGAATCTTGCTAGTCAATTCTATGGCTTCCACCCATCACCCTTGGGCTTTACTCAAAATACAAACCATTCTGGCCAGCTACCTTCTCCCCTATTTTCATGCCCACAATGCTCTCTGTGCTTTCTCACCCACCCCATGTTTTCCCCCACTGTTGTCCTTCCTTCCAACCTTTTTCCTGGAAACCTCTTTTACCATAGTGAAACAAATCACCTCTACATCCTCAACTTATCAATGAATAGTTCTTTCAATCCCTGGGCTAAATCAGTCTCTTGAGAAGAACCCTCTAGAGTGAAGGCTAAGGCAGTAGGGATCAACCTTCTCCACAGTGATATTTCTAGACCCTAAGTCACAAGCAATCCCACTCCTTCCCTCAGGCTCAGGCCATCTGGCTATCCTGCTCTCTTCTCTTTGCCATGCAATACCCCATCTACCTTTTGTAACCTAGGTCCAGACTTAATCCCTCAGATGCACTCCACCTAGTCTCATCTCTCCAGTTAGTTACAATGTTACCCAGTGAGCCTTTTTTGTGTCATTAATCAGGTCCTTCCTTCCCCCATGACTCATAGTGCCTTTCTTTTCAAACCTGAGCCACACTTCCGCTTCCAGTCCCACAGGGGGTGGGATGGGAGAGGGACTTCTTCATGTTTTCCTCTACTGTTTGTGTAGGTTATTTATATTGTGAAAACACTATTTCTTCCATTTACTTGGATCATTTTCTCAATTGCTGGCTTTTAATATAAAAATTTGTTATATTCAGGTGGCCAGATTTGTCCATCACTGCCTTCTCCATTTCTTTTACTATTTCTCAGCTTAGAAATTTCTCCCCCTTCAATAACAGCAGACAAATACTCTTAATATTTGCCTTTCTGTGGGCTAATTGTTCCAATATTTCATTCCAAAAGATGTATAGAATGAAATTTGACTGTAAATTGTTTCGGAATTGCCCAGTTTTTCTAACATCTAATTAATTCTCACCATCCTTTGGTTTATAAAGTTTCTTTTTTTAAATAAGCTTTCTTTTCACATATTTCATTTGTTTTTCTACAAAAGGTTGATTTCTGAGCTATAATCTGTGGAAGTAATGTTTCCTTAGGTTTTACTTTGTGATAAAAATATTCTTTGGTATTCTCATTCTCATCTTTTGGTATTCTCATCTTCTATTCTTCCCGACAACAGTTAGATACATTTTATTTGTTTCGGAGGACATGCCAAGTGATTTCATGAGTAAGAAATGGTGACCCAGTCTACTCTGAGTGCTGTGTATTTCTGCTATGGTTATTGCCTACGCACACTGCTCCCTTCTGTTTTAAGGGCTCATGCATTCCACTACTGAGTCTAGAATTAAAACCTTTCTAATCGTGCTAGAAAACCTCACTTTTATATATTTATTCACCTGGAGCCACATTTCATTAAACCTCGTTCTTTGTAATTTTCCACGTTTTGCATTTATCTTTTCATTTGTAAAATCTGATTTGCATAAAATAAAGGTATCTCACACACAATTTTTACTTCATAGGCCAACATTTTTCTATCAGCTCTGAAGTATTTTTCAGATCTTCCTATTATCTTTTAAGATCCACAAAGTTACGCTTATTATTTTTAGTTTACATTTTTTTAGGATTTTATTTATTTTTTTGAGAAAGAGAGAGAAAGTGCCCGCACAGGAGCAGGGGGAAGGTCAGAGGGAGAGGGAGACGGAAACTCCCCACTGAGCAGAGAGCCCAACAAGGGGCACAATTCCAGGACCCTGAGATTATGACCTGAGCTGACCGCAGATGTTTAACCAACTGATCTACCCAAGCACCCCTTTAGCTTACATTTTTTACATGCTACATTGACTTGAAAATATTTTATCAAAAATTGAAAAATGATGTGAAAGGAACATGTATTTGAACAGTCTCATTCCTATGTCATCCACATGCTGCTCGCAATGCCCTTGAGGACTACTGGTCATCACTTTTATTAGTTTCTTCTATATCCTTCCAGCAATTCTTTAGACAAATACACTTAACTGAAAATAGTCTTATTCCTCCTATCTTCTTAAATAAAATGTCCAGTTTTGCACCTTATTTTTTTTTTCACTCAGAATATCCTGAAGATTTTCCATGTTAGGATGTATTTCTTCATTGTTTCTAAAGCTCTATGGCATTTTATTATGTGAATACATACTAGTTTGTGTAACCAAGCCCACAGTTTTAAGAAATTAGATTCCACAAACTTAAGTCTTATTTCTGAAAGTAATTTAGAATTCAAGAGAAACAACTGTACAAACCAAACAGCACAGGAACCTATGCGGTGTAATTTCACAAATTTATATTCTACCGATAAATATAAGTTCTCTTGCACATCACTTTACCTTTTCTCTCAAGTTTACTCCATGAGCCTGTCTAAAATCTATCAACTGTTCTAGTCATAAACTCTGAAAGCAGAAGGATAATTCTTAGGGGTGACTTGATGGCTCAGTTGGTTAAGCATCTGCCTTTGACTCAGGTCATGATCTTGGGGTCCTGGAATTGAGCCCTGCATCAGGCTCCCTGCTCAGTGTGGAGTCTGCTTCTCCCTCTCCCTCTGCCTGAAGCTCTGCCTGCTTGTGTGCTTGCTTTCTGTGTCAAATAAATAAATAAAATCTTAAAAAAAAAAAAAAAAAAGGGATAGTTCTCAGAGTGAGAAGCCTCAGATTCTAAAAGATGCCCAACCTCACTAAGCTTCAGTGAGCCTGCAAAAATGAAATACAGCTACACAAGAGTCAAGACAGTTGTACAAATAAATGTTCCACTCTACTTAGTGGAATCAGGAGAGGCTTCACAGAGGAACAGACACAGTCCCTTAGGTTCAATCCTAAAAGAAGAAATGCTCTAGAGGCGGCAGAAATGCACAAGGGGCACAAGAAGGCAAGAGAAAGCATTAAAGAGGCATCAGAATAAAGAGCTGTTTGAAATAGCACACCTTGTCAAGAACTCTAGTTCCACTTCCACTTAGAATGCAGAAAGCCACAAAGTAATGTCAATACCACCCTCATAAGAAAAAGCAAGATCTATCAAATCAAAACTTACCTTGAGCCTAACAAAGAGTTGAGGTCACAAGGCAATCAAGTAAATTTAATTCCAAAGAGGGACAAGGTCCTCCAAGGAGAGACCATACACATAATCTGTTTTACCTTTGGCAGGTCACAGAAAAAGAAGGGGCCACCATAAAGGTGTGTAAGAAAAAAATCAGCTAAGTTTTTTTTTTTAAGACTTTATTTATTTGAGAGAGAGAGACAGCACAAACAGGGGGAAGAGCAGAGCTGAGCAAGGAGCCCAAAGCCAGGCTTGATCGTAGGACCCTGGAATCATGACCTGAACTGAAGGCAGATGCTTAACCAACTGAACCACCCAGGCACCCCCAAAAAACCAACTAAGATTTTAACAAATTCTTAAAGACCAAGTGTAGACTCGTGTAACAGTTAGGAATGGCTGGGGATCCCTGACACAAGGGGAGCTTACACTCAACTCTAAGTTCTTCTACATGCCTCAACCAGGTGCTCATAAGAAAAATTAAAGGTAAGTCAGAGAGAGCCCTTCATCAATGGGGCAAGTATGCAGGAGGTGACAAGTACTGGCCTGAAGCCCTAATTCCCCAATCTTTCTTTAAACACAGAGCAAAAGCCTAGAGCCACCAGGGGAAGGAAAGAAAGCCCTCTCACTCTAAGGTCCAGGCAAAAATCCACTGCTTCAGAGAACAGAAACAAAATGCCTCTGCCTCTGGAGGAGGGGGAGAAAATAGTGTCAAGTCCCCAGACACAGGCAAAGATACACTGATGCTAGAAAAAGGCAGAGAC